TATATTTATCTCTCAGTGTCAGATCATGAGTGATTTATTCGTTATAAATATCTTAATTTTGGCATGAACGATATTTTTTTGACTAGATTGGAGAGTTGATTAGTCAAAATGCACATAAAATTGCCCAGACATCTCTGATCGTTCAACAAAAAAAAAATTGATATTGTATCTCTAAATTTTATAATTTTTATGGGTTTTAATATAAGTTTTACATAAAAAAAAATTACAATCATTTTATGTGGCACGTAGAATAATAGAACTTTTTGCGTCTAGCCTAGCTAGAAGCAAAGGTACTGATGGAACTAATTGTGCCAAGGTTTTGTTCAACGGGACTTGGAGTGACTTGTCGTGATCAAGTTTACAGACCAAAGTACATGTATTTTCACGGGAATTACTTGAAATGAATTTGTTGCATGATTGAAAAGGGAGAATTGTACTTTGCATTATGAAAATTTTAAATTTTTATTTTGTATTAAATTTTACACATTACACTTTTAATATATTAAAAATATTATAATGTGATTATTTTGTTAATTTTTTATTAATTTTTTCGTCCAGATTAATGAGTTGACTTTTGATGAAAAAAATAACGAAAATTAACAAAAAAGTTAGATTACAATATTTTTAGTACATTGAATGTACAATGTGAGAAATGCAACATTTGAGGGTATAAAATAAAAATTTTAAATTTTTTTGAGGTGTAAAATGCAAAAAACCCAATTGAAAATGATACTTTCTGTAATGACATCTTTCGATGGTGATGCAAACTCAAAGTCAAATTTGAGTAATAAATTTGATTTGTATGACATTCTTCGATTTATAAAATCAAAATGGTTAATCTCATATTATTTTTCAAAAAATCATTTCAATATTAATTTGTACCTTCAAAGATAAAAAATCTCAATTTACACATTCAAATATAGAAATTTGTATCAATACGCACCAAAAACTAATAGCTGTCAGATTGTTGTCTAAAACTAAATGAATACATTATACTTGGACTCCCTCATACTTACCACTTAATCATTTAGACCCCTTACACATTTAAAATATTACTCATACACCTCCTGACGTTTGTGCACGTGTAACATTTTTGTAAATATAATCGTTAAAAAATATAATTTCATTTTAATAATAAAATATTAATTTTTATACTACCGTTTATTTTATGGACTCGTTATACTCTAAAGTTTAAAATTAAATTTACCATTTGAATGTTCAATATAATGCAGGTATTTATATTATATTTTTATATTTAATGCAATTAGGGATGACAATGGAATGAGGAAAAACAGGTATTCGTCCAAACTCACCCCGTTTGGACCGGAGATGGATCATACGTATTAGACGGTGAACGTATACGAAAATACCCGTATAAACTCGTACGAAAATAAAAACGGGTATAGACTTACCCTTACTCCCGCCCTACCCCGGTACCCATTAAGGTTGAACTTATATATATATATATAATTAAATAAGTTCAACCCTAACTTACTCCTTCCAAATTATTTATATGTATTTATATGTATGTATTTTAGACTTTGAATCTGCCAAATTAATGTATTCGAAGGTCAAGTCATGATTTACTGGGTTTGTGGCCAAACTTGTGTGTGAAGTTGATATTTCATTTTTTTTTGTTTTCCCCCTTTTCGTGGAACTATAAAATATATTGTTTATGAGAAAATGCTATTTATCTAATCAATAACAGTTGTATTAAAAAGTTGGAACTAATAACTAATTTAATGTTGTAATGAGTTTGGTCCTGATTAAGCTCCAAAATTAGTTTCGTATAGCATTGTTTTTTTAATGGACATCATTGCTGCAATGGAGAGAATCATTCAATGTTTCTTGATGGTATTTGATCAGGAGGAACTTCAACTAGCTCACTGCTATTTAATCCATTTTAATTCAGTGGGTAACATTACCTGCATTTTAACTCACAAACTTTGATAGATACTTGGCTTAGATTTTATGGTAATCCTGATCAATAGCCAGAAAAATTTAAGTGGTTATTGAGATATTAAGAAATGATTGAGTTGGTAATTTTTCAATTTCAACCTATCAATTTTATTAGTAAATATAAAATATTTTTTATGCAATTATTATATTTTTTTATGTTTTATTTTCTTTATTAAATTCCATGTGTGAAATTACAAGGCATAAAAGTTTCTCTATTACAAATATTCAAGTTGTATTTTAGATATTTATTGTTTGTGTAATGTTGGAATATGTTATACTACATTATATTGTGTTAGATTATTTAGAATATTGTTGGATTATTTAAAATGTTAAATTTATTTAGAATTTTGGATTATGTTGGTTTAAACTTAAACTTAAGCTTGAGCTTAGATTTGGACTTGGGCTTGGGCGGGTACGGGGGAAGTGGGAAGTGGGAACGAGGACGGGGATTAGAAATTTACCCACGAACGGGGATGGAGGTGAAAACTATGTCCATTAACGGGGGTGGATCGAGGATGGACGAAATTTTTTTAAGCGAGTACAAAAATAGAGATTACATCCCCCGGCCCCCACTTCGATCCACTGACATCCCTAAATGCAGTACATCACTTAAACAAAATTATTTGGATGTCCAATTGGGAGAACATTTTTAGTGATATTTAGATTCTCAAAGAATGTATGTATAATATTTCAAATGTGAGGAGTATAAGTGATTAAGTGACAAGTATAAGAGATCTAGATGTAATTTTTTAATTTAGTTTTACACGGCAAAATGATGGTTGTTAATTTCATGTGCACATTGATACAAATTTATATTTTTGAGGATGCAAATTAAAATTTTTGATATTTAAGGATATAAATTAAAATTCGAATAATTTTTCAAGATACAATTTGAGATTAACCCAAATCAAAATCATACTCAAATCCTTTTAAAAAAAATTCCCTATGTTGTCCCAAGACCCATACTTTTGTCAGTTTGTGTTGAAATGTGCATTATGTTGTTTCGCGGGAAGGAGCAAATCTGTAGCTTCTATGAGAAGGAGATCAGATCTACAGCTTTCAAACAATTCTGGTTCACAGTGAAAATGAGCAGATCTGCAGCGAAGAGGAGTAGATTTGCAGCTTCCATTGAAGGAGATCAGATCGACGGTGACACATGCGTGGAAGCCTGCTTCGCTGAACATATAGAGAAGAAGAGGGCTTTTTTGGCTCAAAATTTTGAGTAAAAGATTTGGTTATCCCCTAATTTTAGTCAAGAAAATAGTTTTCTATAACTTTGAGTCAAAGATTAGAGAGTATTTTCAAGAGTTTTTTTTTTTTACCTAATTTTAAATTTGGGTGTTTGGTTTTAAATAAAGAGCGGAGATGATATAATACAACTAAATCTGAAATCAAAATTAAATATCATTTTGAAATGAGTAATGTTACATAATCCGAATAGAACCTAAAAAATTACAATTCAAATACATATTATTTTTTTGATGAGTGAGCCTCATCAATTTTTTTGGTGGGACTCACTCATTCAAAAAATTATATGTATGTAAATTACAATTTTAAAATTTTACTTAAGTTGTGTAACATTTTCCTATTGAAAGAGTAATGTGATGGTGGTGCAAGAGAGAGTTGTGATGGTGGAACAACTAGGGGCTGTCTGGTAAGAGGTTATGGGGCATGGTAAGATGGGTTTAAAAAAAATAGTTCAAAGGATTCACAAACCTTATATTTAGATTGAAAATTCAATCTTGAGTTCTTAAATCCGGTCCGTAGTTGGCATGAATATTAAATTTATGATCATATATTTCGTCAAACTTAAGGGGTAAGTTTGAGAAGATGGGTTGAAGATGCAAAAAGATAATTGTATCCCTCAATATGTGTATGGATTAGATTGATCAAAGTTAAAAAAGTCATTTATAGGAAAAATAGCTATTAATAATTATGATATATCTGTAGGTCTTACATGTGTATGTGTTGCATATCAAATATGATAATGAATTAAATTCAAATACCAAAAGAAATTTGAGTTTGGAATAATTAAGAAAGGCAATCTAAACCTTTCCTAAAAATCCATCAAAACAAGTCCGAGATAATGAAGTTGGTAGGTTGTGGCCACTAGAAGCTACAGAAGGTGAAGATGATTGAGCTGGAAAAAGAAATAAGATTAATTAGGTAACATACCTTAGGGAAGACATAGAGAGGAATGAGGAGAATTTTTCAGAGGATTTTTTTTTTTGGGGGTGGGAGATGATAGTCATAAATTTAAAGGGTAAAAGTGCATAAAATAAGTTGTTTAGGCGAGGCTATTCAATTAAATCGAGCTGGGTCAAGTTTGTCAAGTTGAAATGCATCTTATTTGAATTTAGTTCGTATAGAAAATCAATAATTTATTTTATAAAACAAATAAATTTTAATGAGTTAAAAATAGATCAATCTTAAATTGAGCTTAGATAATCAATTCGTTTAATAGCTAGAAGTGATGACATTGAACTACATCTACTTCATTTGAAACATTATCTTAAAATTTCAAAATTAGTTAACAATATTCAAAATGATATTATTATTTTTATAGCTCAAAAATGTGTGCTAGTGGGCCCCAAATAAAAAAAAATTAATTCAATTTTTCCCTAATTTGGTTGTTATAGCCAAGCATACCAAGCAAAGAAAACTTAATTAGGCCATCAAGATTATTATGGTAATATCATCATTAAGATTGGGTAACAAGTTTTATCATATAGTAGAAAAGGCCCTTTTATGATAAGGATGCAGGGCAATTTAGTCATATTGAATTTGTTGAGTGGGACTCCAAAATATCCAGGTAAGCGCTCTCTCTCTCTCTCTCTCTCACACACACACACACACACACACACACACACACACACAAACGCAAAACAAATTGGCAGTCGCTTTCTCATTTTTACTCTTCTTGCAGTTACCAGTCAGTCGGTCAGTCAGAGCTGAGCTGCCTTTAGAAAGAAAAAAGGCTAAACATGCTCCGTCCCCTCATTACTTCCTTCTCATTCAAACCCCCATATCACTCCTTTATGCTCCTCCTCCTCCTCCTCCTCCTCCTCCTCCACCTCCAAATACCCCCACTCAATTTTGCTGATCTTCTAAATCCCATTTTCAATTCATCCCACTCTCAAAACTATCATTACATCCATGTCTCTCTGTTTCTCAATCTCTCTCCAAATTCCACTACCATTCTTTCTCTGACTATGTAGAGCAAATCATATTCCATCAAATTTAGCAAAGATTCGATCTTTTCATCAAACAATGAATCTTGTACAGACCCATCTCTTGATTCCGCTTCTACTATTCATATTTCATCTACTACTTACCCTCTGTTCTTCATACCCAACTCCTCTGAATTGTACGGACACCACTCGATTGTGTACATCATTCTTGGGCTTCAAACCCAATTCAAACCAGACCCTATCTGTACTTCAAAGCATGTTTGACGTCTTACCCGAAGATATAACAGTCGAGGGCAGTGACAGAGGCTATGTTTTTATCCGAAAGAACTGTTCCTGTGCTTCAACAATCCACAAGTATTTGACAAACACTACGTTCACTGTGAGAGAGAATGGTGGATCTGTGTACGATATGGTGATCAATGCCTATGGTGGGTTGGCCTTTTTGTCGAATTCGAATCGGGAAGCGAGGGTAGGGGGTGTGGTGTCGTTGAGGTTGTTTTGTGGTTGTTCGAGTGGGCTGTGGAATTATTTCTTGAGTTATGTGATGAGTGATGGGGATAGTGTCCAGTCCTTGGCGAGTAGGTTTGGGGTGAGTATGGACAGTATTGAGACGGTGAATGGGATTAGCAATCCTGATAATGTCTCTGTTGGTGCACTATACTATATACCACTCAATTCAGGTATATGCTTTAGTTTTTTGCTATTTATTTGTTTGTATTGATCTTATTGGTTAAAAATAATGGTTTTTGGTTGGGTTATCTTTTGTTTGGTTTGGTGAAGTAGAATTGGGCTTTGACTTTGGGGTTTAGAGTTGGTGAAATAGTTCATCGAGTAAATTTCAATTATGGTTTTCTGGGTCATCTTCATGTAAGATGATAGTGACCGGTGCCAATGATCATTGCATAGAAATATGTGTTATGTGCCAAGTAAATGGAACTGCCAGGAAAAAGTTATTATGTTGCTGAAATTTTATGTTTGGTTATCTGTCAAAGGGGTGTTTCATGTGGAGATTTGGTGGGCAGAAAGAAGGACTCTTTAATTCAGTGCAAAGGGTGTCATATTTTTGAAGAAATTGGGGAAATCTTGAATATCTTACAAAAAATTCAACTAGATAAGAAATAAAGAAATGAGCATAATCAAGGCCAAGGACACAGTGTTATATTTCATTTAGGGCCAAGATAAAAGACATGCCATAGTTTGGGTGTGGGCATTGAAGTTTCTGTAAAGATTATAGTCTGATGTTCAAGCTTGTTAGGACTGGTCTTTGTTTTAAGGCCAAACTTTTGAAGTGGATAATATTATGGGATTAAAAGAGTAAAGGAAAGGAATAGTTTTTTTTTCTTAATTATGCCAATATTAACTTTTTGAGGCGCTTCACTAATTTTTTTCATGAGCATTAGAGTTACATAAGAGGAGGAAACCAATGGGAAATTCCAAATAGGCTTTGATGAGGCAAAAGTGCTACATATGCAAACAACTTTCACAAGTAATAACTCGAAAGTAGTGCAAGAGAGAAAAAATTGAGATTCTCATTTAAAATGGGGAACTTCTCCATTATGAGTAATCCACAGAAAGGAAGGCTCTATCTTCTCACTACTTTGTTAGGATTGTGGTGTCGGTGAAGCTGTGGCATTTTTCTTCTTTCCACCACCATCTGCCCTGTGCAAAAATTCCATAATGTTAGGTAAATTCAAAGAAATTTGAACATTCTGAAGAATCCATAGCTAGTCATAACATTTGCAATTTGATACATTTAGATTTTTAAAAAAAACGAGGATTTATATTGGCTTATGGTTACCAAAGACTCCATAGTGTAGGACGGGAGTGCTATCAAGCAATTAGTTGCATATTTTTTCAGTTGTTATATTAAGATGAATAAAAATTCAGTTTTCATTTGTTGGGTTCACATTTAACAGGTGAATTTGGCCTTAGGAATATTGTCATCAGTTAACTTTTTTATTGAGTGCTCATGTTTTGCGCTAGACTTATTGACTTTTTTAAAAGTGCAGATGCACAGTTAGATGTCCCTCCCTCTATGCTAACTTTGTAATTTTTTTTTTCATTTGTGTATTTTGTTATAGTTCCTGGAGAGCCTTATCCTATAGAGAATGATGTTGCTCCATCTCCTCCTCCAGAACCACCTGTTGACAACATAGCAGGTAATCATTGTGTTCAAAGTGTTGAACTATTACGCACATTTTGGGGCCAAATGCCACTATAGTTTTCTCTAGTTTTCCTATTAAGCGCAAATTTAGGTGCCATGTCAATGCTCTATAGTGGGTTTAAATTCCTCCATTTGGTATCAATACCTACGATGTCATGCTAGAGTACCTTCTCTTCTGTTACAGGAAATGTAATAACTGATCATTTATTTTTTCTTTTGGTAGTAAATCAGGTGAATCATAAGGCTCACGTCCCTTACAGATGGATCTTTGGGGGTTTAGGAGTTGGGCTGGCTCTGATTATTATAGTTGTACTCATTTTTGTTTCCTTGAGGTCATCAACCCACTTCACTGAAGCCCTTGGAGGTCATGGAAAAGATTCAGATGATAAGAGTTCTCAGAAGTTCCATATTCTTCGAAACACAAGTTTCTGCTGTGCTTCAGGAAGGTATATCTGCTGCAAATCAGGGGATTGGAAACAGTCTAATGGAGAATCTAGTGACTGTCAAATAAACATTCCTAAAGGTTTGATTTTCAATCCTACTGGATTCCAAGTTTTGTTTATTCCAATTATTATCTAAAACTAACTAGAACAGCCTGTGGCAACGAAATATGTAACTTGATTTAAGCTTCAATTCTAGGAATGTACAGGTTGAGTTTTTGTACATGCTGAGGGATGAAGATTTAAAATCAATTTCCATAACTGAATATATTAATAACAAAATATATTCGTGGGCATATGCTTTTATGGACTTTCTAGACTACTTGATGGATCTGATTTTTTTAAGTGCCTCTTTCTAAAGCCATTTTAAGGAATTACTTTATCTTACAATGTCAGCTTAAGTTCCTCTTAAAAGAAATTCATATGAAGATGGAGGAGGACGATACATATATACCGTACTTGTGTGACTGTTCCTTGTTGTGCAATTCAGAGAATGTCATTAGGGATATTGTCAACATGTCATCCTAGGTCTTGGGTCATTGTTTATGTGGAGGAGGAGGGGAGTACATTTAGGGTGCACAAATATGGAAGCAAGCGATTTAGAGTCGAATCAAATTTGTTGCACAATATTTTATAAATAACAAAACTAAGGTCGATTTTTTGAAAATTAAGTAGGATTTGGTTGGAATAGAGGATGCGTGTTCTTCATGTTTAAAAACCCAACATGAATATGATTCAAGATTTATTGTGCATGACATAAACCAGTGTTTTACTCTCTCTCTCTCTCTCTCAGGAGTTAACAGTTCCATTGGTATCTTGATATGCTTTTGTATCATAAATAAAATTAATGTCGTCAATCTCCTAATTTTCACATAAAAGATTTTTTTTTCTCTCTCTCTTTCTTTTTGTGCCAACTCTATGTTACACTGGTTAAAGGATCAAGATTGTTTTTATGTTTTACTTCATGATAAGTTTTATTTATGTATTATGTCTCCTTGGCTTCCCAGGAGCAACCTTTATCTTTTCAAAAGTTGCTTTACTGAGGAATTGCTACTGTTTCGTATGATGGAACTTAAAGCATCCTTTCCCTACCAATTAGACTTATCAGTCAGAGAATTTTGTATTTGTATTATGTCCTGCAGTTATAGGGACTGATGTCTTTGATGTGGAGAAGCCGGTGGTTTTCACATATGAAGAGATGCTATCTTCTACAGATGGTTTCTCTGACTCCAATCTTCTTGGCAATGGAACATATGGCTCTGTGTATTATGGCCTCCTTCGCGACCAGGTTTGCAGCTGTCTATTTTGCTGCTAATAATCAGTTACAATTCTACATATATGAAGAAATTTTCCTGGTCATACTGTTACTGGTATATAGTTATAAATGTTTCAGGAAGTTGCAATCAAAAGAATGACTGCCACAAAAACTAAAGAGTTTTTGGCAGAGATGAAAGTTCTCTGCAAGGTGCATCATACAAATTTGGTAATATTTGTTTCCCTTTAAATCGGCACCTTCTAACCCTTTCGTTTCCTAGCTTATTATCGTTGTCTTCATTTTTTAAGCTTTTGACTTTGTTTTGGTTTTGTTTTGTCAAGGTAGAATTAATTGGTTATGCAGCTAGTGAGGATGAACTCTTCCTCATATATGAATATGCTCAAAAGGGATCATTTAGAAGCCACTTGCATGATCCTCAAAATAAGGGTAAGACTCATCGTTGTGTATCGTTACAGATATGCTTTAACCAATGACTTGCTTTAAGGTTCTCATGTTATTTAACATTTCACCATTCGTGTTATTGGTATCCTCATCTTTTAAATTTCGGCTGTGATAAAATTTCTCGAAAATTGTGTGTGGTAATGTCAGTACCAATGATATGGCTATATTAACAAGTAGCCATTAGTGGGTTAGAAGCTTTTATGGAAATCTCATTAGCTTAATTACCTACCCTTGCAAATTCTAGTAAGGATATATGATAAGAAATATATGTGACTTGGGTAGGTCATACACCACTCTCTTGGATCATGAGGGTGCAGATTGTACTTGATGCTGCTAGAGGTCTGGAATATATACATGAGCACACTAAACCTCATTATGTGCATCGAGATATCAAGACAAGCAACATCTTACTCGATGGTGGCTTTAGATCAAAGGTTCTCACTTGTTCAGCCTGATTGCTTTCGTCTTTATCATCTCAATGTTCAGTCACTGCATCTGATTGCCTTTGCTGAATACAGATCTCAGATTTTGGATTGGCAAAGCTGGTTGGAAAAACCAGCGATGGGGAAGAGTCAGCAACAAGAGTGGTAGGAACTTTTGGTTATCTGGCTCCAGAGTAAGTGAATTACTCAATTAGCATTCGCAGTCTGCAGCAAGATCCTTGAATACCTTTTTAATGTTCACTTGTCTGGTTCTTTATAGATACCTCAGGGATGGCCTGGCCACAAAAAAGAGTGATGTATATGCCTTTGGTGTTGTTCTTTTCGAGATAATATCAGGAAAGGAGGCAATTACACGAACTGAAGGTGTCATGATGAAAAATCCTGAAAGACGATCATTGGCATCCATTGTAAGTCCTCATCCACAATTTAAGCAGACAGTTATGCACAATAAACTAATGAATATGATCACATAGGAGATATTTTTTGCATAACCCCTGCTATGTGCTATAATTGAAACTGAACTGCCTCAAAAAAGAAAAAAGGGGGGGGGGGGGAGGAGATGGAGTGGAGAGTATGTGAACAATGATTAATCAATGCTATATATTCCTTTCTGGTATTATGCATGTAGAACTCTCAGAAAACCATCCTTGCCATTCTGCTTGAAGTTGTAGAGCAAAATTATCACATTGATCCTCCTATCCTTCTGGAGTAATGGAAAATATGTCAAAGAAAACAGAAACAATTGACCTTGAAATGCGATGCTTGCCATCTCATTTATGGTATTGTGGATTTTATGCTGGATCTGCAAAGTTGTTCCAATCTTTATGAGTTCAATCTAATTTGCATCCCTGCCATTCTGCTAGTAATGGAAAATTTGTACAAGAAAACAACAACAATTGACCTTGAAATGCGATACTCGCTGTCTCATTTATAGTATTGTTGATTCTATGCAGGATCTGCAAAGTTGTTCCAACCTTTATGATTTCAATCTATTTTGCATTTTTTACATATTTAAATTGTTAGGCTCCACTGTTGCTATCAAAAACCCATCTGAAGAATACAAAGGAGAATAAGAAGTTTCAATTTTACTATAACTTTTGCACCTAGTTTTTTTTGTTGTTTCTTAGAGCTAAGTTGTTGGATTGTGCCTTTTCTCAGAAGCAAACATGGATGCTGAAATATTACTTTGTAAAAATGCAGATGCTAGCAGCTCTTAGGAACTCACCGGACTCCACAAGCATGACAAGCTTGAAAGACCACATAGATCCTAATTTGATGGATTTGTATCCCCATGACTGTGTCTTCAAGGTAAAATACTTTCAATCTTATGTCCTGAAGGTAATGTACATTAACTGTGAAGCCTCACACTTCTACGCTGGAAGACATAATTTGGAAAGGGTTGGAGGAGAGTAATTTGTTGCTCTGGTCTCTGAACGGATGGATGTGAAACCTCAACTATAATGCTAACATATGGAATCATAGTGCATCAAGATTTAACGAGAAGTTTAGGTGACATAACATGATTGGGGTAAACGAAATAGGGTGAAAAGGGGAGGGGTGGGGTGGGGGCGAGGGTTTGGCAATTCTCATGATTGGTACATTATTTTAGTTCAGTAAGAAGCACTTTGTAGATATTGGAAATCAGACTTTTAAGTTAGTTGTGGTAACTGACCTCGTTATTTCTATGCATTGGTTTATCTCATCATGTAGGTGGCTATGTTGGCAAAGCAATGTGTCGACGATGATACCATTTTGCGGCCAGATATGAAGCAAGTTGTGATATCACTCTCACAGATCCTCTTGTCCTCTGTTGAGTGGGAAGCAACTCTTGCCGGGAACAGCCAAGTATTCAGTGGCCTTGTTCAAGGAAGATAGTTGATGACAGGAGAAGTCCCTAGTTCCGGAACTTTGACAGTCTGCATTTTTCTATTTACTTTGCTGGTACCTTCATCTCCAGAGTGTTTGTGTATAGTAGTAGCACATATAGTCCAGTGCAGTGGTAATATGGTGGCATTTATACATGTCATTTGTCCTTTTTTCTGTTTCTTTTTCATTTTTTACATTCCCTTTTCTGATTGCTTTTTTCGTGTAATTAGTGTTTCGGCTTTTCATTTTGCTTTAAATCAAATCAGAATGCTGGTGTGATTATTCAGTTTCCCTAAAGAGAGGTTGCAATGAAAGAAAAATCTTGGTTTTTTTGCAATCTTGGTTTTATAAATTAGCATAATGGCATTAAATTCAAAGACCCCATTTGTGCCTACTTTCTTATGTTAATTGCCTTCAATCATGGGGGCTTTATGAAGTAGCAAACTCAATTTAGTAATTTACAACTGGTCCATGAGCATCTGTGCCTGAGGATCTCTTTGTAATCTCCAGACTCCAGAGCAATCTCCTTTGGATAAGAGCTCAAGGTAAAGACACTCGCATTAGGATTTTGTAAATAATGTCAACTACAAATAGGGTTGATAATTTTTTGACACAATTTGTGAATCCGATATGAAATACAGGTTTAGGGTAAATTTTGACGGAGTTGGGTGAGAAATGGATTGACTGGTCAGACCTGTTTAATATAATAAATGAGATGATATAAATTAGGTTAAACACGAATTATACCCCACATATTTATTATGATAGAAATTTGATTGTATAAGAATATAAATGAGTTGGAACAAATTTTAACACCTTTGTATAAAAACAGGATACAACACAACTAATCCACAATCTTGAGTGGCTTACAACTTTGTTGGAGGGCATATGCAGCGCTCCCCCCCCCCCCAAAAAAAAAAAAAAGAAAAGAAAAAAAGCCTTCCAAAAGCCTTTGACAGCAAAGGATTAATGGCATGACTGCTGCTTGAACATGATATCCACCTACTTTTTTTCCTGTTTGATATTAACCTAGTATCAAAAACATTTGAAGTACTAATAAAACATGCTCTACTACAAGGTTCAAAATTTTGTTTTTCATAGTTTTGATTAGGTTGAAAACAACACGAAAATAAGATAACATTGATTGCAAACATTATGATGGGAAGGTATATTTTCAATCATACTTGTGCGAAAATCAAAACATTTTACTCGAAACGTTAAAAAGGAAACCAAATTTGTATGCTAAGTGGTGGCATAAATAGTGTAGATGATGTGACATTGAACAATTATAGATAGTGAGTTATCAAACCCATTTATCAATTATGTCAGCTAATCTAACTATTTTGTTGATCTAGGCAATCTCAATTGATCACAAATCTATAAAAACAATGGCAGGCCTTCTTTCTTGCGGTTGGCCGGCATTAAGTCTATACTATATGTTTTTCATTTGTTGCAGCCTGTATAAGCATATATGTCTACTATTCATCTCTCTCCACCTAATCTCTTCACTGTCGGGGAAAGCTTTTTGTCACCTTCATGTCCATGGTATAGAAAAATGGCACGAGGCCGGCCGACCACGTTTATCCTCCTTACCTTGATCGCTCCATCCCTTTGTCCTCAACCCATGATATTATTCTCCATGTTTTCTCATTTAAAGCTCACTCCACTTTCTCTACTGCCATTGAAACACTTGAAAGAAAACCATGGTGAAACTCTCTCTCTTGATAATCTTCTTGTCCTTTGTTGTTTCTTCTTTATGTGATGAATTTACAGATGTCATCACTTCTTGTTTAACTCATAGTAATGTTAATGACTTCACGGTGTATCCAAACAAAGACAATAATTCAACAGTTTACTTTGATCTCCTTTATTTCTCCATGCAAAATCTTCGGTTTTCTGAATCATCTGTTCCTAAACCAAAAGCCATTATTTTCCCAGAAAATAAAGAAGAGTTACTGAACACTGTTTTCTGCTGTAGAAAAGGAGCTTTTGAGATCAGAGTAAGGTGTGGAGGACACAGCTATGAAGGTACTTCATCAGTTGCCACTGATGGAGCTCCATTTGTGGTGATTGACATGATGAAACTGGATCAAGTTTCAGTGGATTTGAACTCCGAAACAGCGTGGGTTGAAGGTGGTGCAACTCTTGGCCAAACTTACTCAGCCATAGCAGAATCAAGCGACATTCATGGCTTCTCTGCCGGGTCTTGCCCGACGGTGGGAATCGGCGGACACATCTCCGGCGGTGGGTTTGGGCTGCTGTCGAGAAAATATGGACTCGCAGCTGATAATGTGGTGGATGCTCTTCTCATTGATGCAGATGGAAGAGTGTTAGATAGGGAAGCCATGGGAGAAGATGTGTTTTGGGCCATTAGAGGTGGTGGTGGAGGTATATGGGGAATTGTTTATGCATGGAAAATCAAACTGCTAAAAGTACCAAAAACTGTGACAAGTTTCATTGTAAATAGACCTGGCACAAAGCTTCAAGTGGCTGAGCTAGTTCAAAAATGGCAACATGTTGCACCAGAGCTAGATGATGACTTTTACATATCATCTTTTGTGGGTGCTGGTTTGCCACAAAGAGAAACCATTGGAATTTCAGCAACTTTTAAAGGGTTTTATCTTGGTCCAAGAATTGAAGCCATGTCCATCCTCAATAGTGTCTTTCCTGAGTTGGGAATTCTTGAAGAAGATTGCAAGGAGATGAGTTGGATTGAATCAATTCTTTTCTTCTCTGGGTTGAACAATGGAAGCTCTGTGTCTGACTTGAAGAACAGATACTTGCAGGACAAAGGGTACTTCAAGGCCAAATCAGACTATGTGAGAACCCCAATAGAAAATGGTGGATTAAGTTCAGCTCTGGACATACTTGAGGAAGAACCAAAAGGGTATGTTATTCTGGACCCTAATGGTGGTATTATGCAGAAAATAAGTAGGGACTCCATTGCTTTTCCTCACAGAAAAGGTAACATTTTTACTATACAGTATCTTGTGGAATGGAAAGAAGAAGATAATGATAAAAGCGACGAGTATATGGATTGGATTAGAAGGTTTTATGATTATATGACACCATACGTTTCATGCGGACCAAGGGCTGCATATATAAATTACATTGACCTTGATCTTGGAGTGATGAGGTTGATTAACACTAGTGCTCCATCGGCTGATTCTGTGGAAAAGGCTAGGGTTTGGGGTGAGAAATATTTTTTGAATAACTACGATAGATTGGTAAGAGCAAAGACTTTGATCGATCCGAACAATGTTTTCAGGCATCAACAAGGAATTCCTCCATTGTTGAATGTGAGTGCAGAAAAGAGGTATCAGTAACAGGTAAAAACATGTGTGTGTGTGTGTGTGAGAGAGAGAGAGAGAGAGATTAGACATGAAAGAATTCATTAGGTTAGCTTTATGTTTAAGATAATGAGTTCCTGTCCCTATCCAACTTCCATCTTGATTCTGACCTGTTGTAGTTCATAGATTCTTATCCATAATAGTTACAGTTTTTGCAACTGTGTGCAAGAGGTCCAAACTGGCAAAGCTGTTCCACTAAAGCTCCAATTAAATCACAAGTTTTTGCATCTCATTTAGTCAATAGCTTGTCTCAATTTTTCAAATACCCAAAGTTTTAAACTTTTGGAGACGGCAAAAAATAAGAATATCAATAATAGCCACTCAGATAAGTTGTACCATTGTGTTGCAACAGAATTTTGCAAGAAAAAAAGGGTATTCCAATTAAAACTGAATCATTATTTTGGTAAACCATATACATCTTTAGAGGAAGGGTTTTAATAAGGCAGACCTTATATTCTTTATCCGTTGTAGCAGGCCGGTTATCAAGGAAGTACAACCAGTAGATGGGAATAGGGCCTGCATCTCCTCTACTTGCAGAGTGAAGCTAGAATGCGGCGAGGTGGGTTAAAAGGCCGTCGGGAGTGTAAAACTGCCAAATTATCCACCAGCAGAATGTCACCTTTCTGCCAAGGTATGGCAACGCTTTCCTCATCAAGTATTTTCAGGCAGTCATATATGATATGAGCCGGTAAGGGGCTTCCATCTCCAAAGGTGACTGCCTTCACAGGATTATTTCTTGCATCTTCCCAGCCTGTGTAAGCAGCCACCATGCTGTTGAACCAAATCTTGCGCTGCCGCGTCTTTTCAAACTTGATTGCTGGGATTGGGCCCATTATGGTTTTTACTCCATCCTCCATCCATTCCAACTTCATTCCTAGCTTAGCAGCCCTGTTAAATGTCCAAAGTACCATAAAACATCTTAAGAAGTTTGTCATTTATTTGCTGCCAAAACCTTTATATCAAATCGATTGGACTCAACACCTGTACATATTAACAGTCGAATATAAACAGGTGTTTCAAGAAGGTTGTCCTATACACAGATATTAGATGGATGAAAGGTTAGCTGAGTTAGAGAAATTGCTTCTAGCAGGCAAGATGTCAACAGTTTCAATAAGAATCAAAACGGAAATCTTCAACTTTGGGAACTTAGGAAGACCACAAATTCTCAAAATAGTTCTTGCAATAAAACAGAGCACTATGGAGTTCAAGTGTTGGTCTTATGAGATGAAGCTGGGTGAAGGACTAGCTGTGATCACATTCTTTGATCCATTCTTTATTTCTTGTTATCATTACAAAGTTTTAGGCTACATCAAACATCCACTAGAATAAGTGGGTACAACGATTGGTACAACAAGCATCACTACAAGTAACTCAATGGTCATTAGTACGAAGAGGAGCAATAGATCAAAACACACAATCTTGCTAATTGAAATAATTTCTCACACTGATTATAGCAAAATACAAACCTTTCCTCAGCCACGCTTTTGTCTTCGGTCAAAAAAGTTGACTTCCACCCACGACCGATTGGGGATGAAGGATCATCATCTTCTCCCAGCACTCGCGTATAGATCAATCCATGCTCTTCCAATTTTTCAACAAACTCTGGGTACTTCTCTTTCACTTTCTCATATATGATATGGCTAAGAACTACAGGAGTTTCTCCGCCACTAGCAGGTTCTACTTCACAAAAGAAGAACAACTTCAATGGGTACACGGGTACCTGTTACAAAAGCTTAGTAAGTCTAAAAAGAGTTAAAAGGACATCCACAGCTTATATAGGCTTGATCCTTTAATCAACTTAAATTGAGCACATCAAAGGCTCAAACAACTAATCACCCCCAAAAGCCTGAACCAGTTGGTACCATTGACATGGCCATTTCAAATCAAAGCAATTAAATTATCAGCAACCCAATTTCAACTTGAACTCCACCATGTAAACTTGGACAAATTCCACCATAATCATAGATTCATAGCAGAACGAAAGCTGAAAATATGCTAAGCAACATTGATAAATTAGCGTCACCTAGTAAATTTCACCCAACTTTATCAAAACAGGCCAATCAAATTCCAACAGATTAGAGAAAGATACATCGCTTGAAAGGTACTAATTAAACAAGCAGAATCATATACCCTATGCAACAGAGCACAAAATTAATCAAACTCAAACCAAGCATATCAAATTACAAAGAGACAAACTTCAGCCTGCCATTAAAAGACATGATATCACATCAAAATTGGATTACGAAAACAAACCTTTCAGTAATTATTAGTCTAATTGTATGTCCATAGTGACAAAAATTGATTGTCAAAGATAAAAAATTTGGAGGTTTCCGTACAATTATTCCTGCTAATTTGAGAATTGACTTATATATGATCCATAGGAGACATTATAATATGATGCAAAACGTTGTCCTAAGGAAATTCATTCGGTTAATAAGTGGAAATAACTTAGAAGATATTCGAAAAATTACCTGAGCCATTTCATGATGAAAAGGGATTTTCTGATCCGGAGGCGATTCATTAGCCGTGAAAACCCGGCCAACAACGTTAGTCCGAGGCGCAGCGCCGCCGACATAGGGCAGTTCCTCGTAGCCAAAAGCCTCGACAACGTCATTGAAGTCAGAAGCGGTGGTTAAAGGGAAACCTCTGAAAAGAACAGCCCCAGAACGATGAAGAAGAGAGTCCAACCATGGCTTATGAAGCTTGATAGCCTCTGTTAGAACAGAAACGTCCGAAGTGAGTCTTGTTGGATCTGAAGAGAGGACTGCAGGGAAGAAAACTCCATTGTAGACCTTCTGTTGAGGTATTTCAACTACTGCGAAGAAATTTTCTGGCATGTTTGGCTGGAAAAAGCTCATCTTTCTCTCTGGAATTCTCTCTCTGTGAATTGTTACAATAATATGGAAGTGAGTAGTGGTGAACATATAGAGGGTGGAGGTGCGTGGGAAAGATGCAAATGCGATGTGGATGCGCAGGTGTAGCTTTCCCTTTATCAGTATTGGCGTCCAGGTACAAAGAGTAGGGGTGATAAATAGGAAGGAGGACAAAACGAAAGTGCTGATAATCTTTGAATGGTACAATGTTTTTGGGGATTAATTGCATGCAGGTGTCCCCTTAGGCTTATCACTTGAGTCATTTGGTCCCACTTTTGTTGACCAATTTTCCTTACAAACATGTCCTAACCACTTTGATGCCACAATAATTTGTCATTAAATCAAGGGTTAAATATATTTTTGATTTTTAAAGTATATATTTTTGATTAATCAATTTGATTCTTAAAATATTCAATTTATATTATTTTGGTATGTATATAGGTGAACGTTAAATTTTTGATACAATGATCATGTGTTGGGTACGTGATATCGTCTAACTTTTATCAAAAAAATTTAACGGATTGTCTGATTAAAGATAAAAAAGACACACATTGAATATTTTAGGGACCAAATTGATATAATGAGAACTAAACTGACAAAAAAAAAATATATTTTAGGATCCAAAAGTGCTATTGACCCTTAAATCACATGAACCCCTTCGAATATGAAAAATAACAATGTGATCTCTTAGGTTTTGGTTATGTATAATATATAACAATGCTATTGAGATCTAATTTATTGATTTAATTTGATGACCTAATTTATTATAGTTATTGAATTGACTGTAAATTCCATCAAGCATTGAAACTTGATATTAATTCAACAGTTACAATGAAATTATATCATTACCTTATTGTTACCATCAAATTTTTAACTCTTAGTAACAGTAGTCTAATATATAACCTCTTTTCGTTATGAAGAGCAATTAAATGTACTAAACATGTTTTTATCCTAAAATTTCCAAAATACCCATAGGACCACCAAACCTAACTCGATCATGTAGGGATGACAATGGACCAGGGTTATGACAAGGAGGGGGAATAGTCTCCACTCTCATACTCGCTTCAAAAATATTCATCCACCTTCATTAGTGGGAAAAATTTTAATCTCTATCATTGTCCACGCCACTGTCCAGAACAATTAAGTTTTATGATTTTAAGAAAAAAAAATTAAAAAGTAAAATCTCACAAATAGTTTTGTAAGAAAGAATGAAACTCCATTATATTACAAATAAATCAAAAAAAATAGTGAAAATATTTTTTTTTTGGGGTAAAGAGAAAAGAGTGTGTGGATGGGTATGATTTGTGATATTATATATATGTATATTGATAAGTAAGTGGGAGGGTGGGTGAATTTTTTTATTTTTTTTTTGTAATACTAACAATGCAGTACGTGGGTTGCACGTGGAAGTTTTCGTTAAAATATTTGATAAAATACATAAAAAAATTAAAGGTTAATAGCACTTTTAATATGTTAAATATGTATTTTTTTCTTAATTTAGTCCTTATTATCAATTTTGTCGTTGATCCCTAAAATATTCAATTCATTTCATTTTAATCCCTACATAAATAAACCGCTAAGTTTTTAACGGAATGATCACATGTTAGACACATGATACTATCTAAAAAAATGACACATAGTCACTTCCGTTAAAATACTTGATGGATTGTCTGATTAGAGATTAAAATGACACGAATTCAATACTTTATGGACAAAATTGAGAAAATTAATATAATGATGACTAAACTGACAAAAAATGCATATTTTAGAGACTAAAAGTATTATTAAATTCTAACTAAATTGAATATTATCTAATTTTTATCATACTTAAATTATTTATAATGTGGATGAAGTGAAAAAGATACATATATTCATTTTTTGACACCGAAAATAATATTATATAAATGAATTTGTCGATGTGTATTAATATTAGGGTTTTAGAAAAAAAGATTAATTTTTTTTACTATCCTATTAAGAGTAACATGACCATATAAAATTTATGTAAAAATTGATATTTACATGACATGCTAGATATTAGTTTGTTATTTAAGTATATAGGGATATAATGGTAATCTATATATTTAAATACAAGACATATTATACTTTATAGTTTCTAATGAGGGCAAAATAATTAATCAAAAAATTTTCATATAAGGTACTTTTATTAGTAGTATACATATATAGTCCATCTACATTTCTATTCTAGCACGAGTTCAAACAAATATTTTTGTATACGCTCATCGTTCAATACATATGATCCACTCTGACTTTAAACAAAACGATGTTACACAAATATCTGTTTTTCTTCCCTCCACTACCATCCCCAGCAGCAATGATATCCACTACAACCATAATCTCAATCCTGTGTGATAATTGTCAATCACCGCCACCATACAAACAAACACCTAGCAGCATGCCACTATCATCACCATTGCTGCCCACAAGATAGAGCAATACAATGCATCATGCCACCACCATCACCAGGGCCGGCCCTAAGCCTAGGCCACTTAATTGGCCTCTTAGGAGCCTCAATTTTTGCAAAATTTGGGGGCCCCTTGTTAAGAGTTTTAATTATGGGTACAAGTCTTTTGGATGGGCTGCTTTGAGAGGGTCTAAATTTTATTGATATGTCTATTAATACTTCAACAATTTACTTAGAAAATTGCTTCACTTGATAGCTATAGTAGATTGCTAAACTTTTGAAACAAGGAAGGTAAATGACTACATCTCTCTCTCTCTCTCATCTTTGAAGGAATTAAGCAAATCTCCTTATATCATTCTACCTCTCTCGCACAAATTTATCAACTGCTATCTTTACGGGATTCACTTACAAACCACAGTGTCTGTTTAACGCCACTCCCTCATGCCCTCTCCCTCTCTCTCTATGAAGTGTGAAGTCTAATTTGAACAAAGAAAGAACACCAAAGCTCTCTATTCTCTAATCTCTTGTAATTCAAAAACCCTTCATTTAATTGATAGTGATCAAGATTCAAGGGTCAAAATTTTTGGGCTCAATCTACTATAATAAACTGGTTTATTTAATTGCTCTTTTATTTTTTATTAGAAATTTTATAAAAAAATTTAGAAGTTTGGTGTGCTTAGAATTTTTAATATGTTGATTTCATATTTTGATATTATTGTTGATTTAGAATGTCTCCTTTTTTGATAGAAACTTAAATGTTTGAATCTTGATAGTTGATTGCGGAAACCATAACTTATATAAAACGTTTAGATTCTTTTTGAAATGCATGTATAACTTTTAGAATATTGATAAAAATTGTTTCAGCAGAGGAAATTTTTGAAAACTTAAATTAATAAAATCTTATCTTCGATCAACTATGTCACAAGAAATATTTAATGGATTAACTATATTATTTATTGAAAAATATCTATTAACAAAACTTGAATATAAAAATTTAATCAATATTTTTGCATCTCAAAAAGCTAGAAAAATAGTATTTAAATGAATATATTTTAATAATTATTGTCTATTAATTGGGCCTCGCTTCATATTCTTGCCTAAGGTCTCCAAATTTGTTAGGCCACCCCCGGCCATCACCACCACTGCACTACCACCATCACACCCAAGTTACGTCCCCAAATTCACCCTTTATCATCTAAAATACAAATAAGGGGGAAAAGATACAAAGAAGTGGTCCTTTACCCTTTATTTTTTCTGAGAGCAATGTCACAATCAACCACTAAAAAGTCGTCTCGTAGATCTTCATTCAAAATTGTCATACAAAAATCATTCACTAAAACCACCATACAAATCCACCCCCAAACCAAAGTTTCCAAGCATCATCCTCCAAATCACCAGCCAAACTCTCCTAGAAATAGAATCCCAAAAATCAGCTACTACCTCACAACCTTAATCTACCACTTTGGAGTTGCTATTTTGAAACAATGCCACCCACCCCTCCTGTGTTACTTGCACTCTTTTCGAATTTCTAAAAAATAAAAGTAAAATAGAATATGAGATAAAGTACCTACTTCGAAGGAGGAATCTCCGATGGTCTAATTCAAAAAACACCTATATTCAAAACTTCAAAAAAAAGTTTAATATAATATTCAAAATATTTATTTTATTTATAAGAAAATCTTTAAATACAAAATAATAAAAATTATCTTAATAACAAAGCTAACCCATGACTTTGCTATCTTAGTAACCCATGTCTAAACCGGACCAGTTCAGTTTTTGGATCGCTTATGCACCAAACCCGTCTGGACCGATGAACCGGTGAAAAATCGCTGAACCGTTTAAACTGGGAGAGTTGAATTAAACCAGCCGGGTCAGTCATATTAGGATAAAAGGTTGAGTTTTGGGCATTTTGCCCTAAATCGACACTCGACGGTAGTCTCTCACATCTCACTCCAGTTTCTGATCTGGTACCCAAGTCGATCGAAAAACGTTGGTCACCGAGTCGAAGCCAACCACTGTCTCTTCTCTTCGCAATGATCGATCAGCCGCTGTGAGCCTGCGACTGTCTCTATTCTCTGTGAGTCCTCTTCTCTTCGACAGCCCTAAATCGACAATGTCTTTTTACCTCTTTTGAGTTTCTTCTCTCAATCTCTGTTCTCTCTCTCTGCCGCTGTGAGCAAGCAAAGGATGAAGCTGGCTTCAAAGCTCCATTCCTTTGAAGCATCGAGCCGTCGATAACCATTGACAGCAGGTACACTACTCTTTCTCTCTCAGTCTCTCTCCCCCTCTCTCTCTCTTTCCGTCGTTATCTCTGTTATGAGAGCTTTTGGTTTACCTGCGGCATATAGGGTTGAATTTTGGAGTCATATGGTGGTTTGAGAAGCTTAGTGTCAAATCTACAAATTTACTAATTTGGTTTGAGAAGGAAGTGGTTTCCCTGTGGCATCTCGTTCTGAGTCTGATTATGGCCATATGCCCTAATCTACTAATTAGGTTTGTCATTTTTGATCTAAGTTGTGTGTGATTCAAGCCAAATTGTTGAAACGAGGTCAAATTTGAGTAACTTGGATTTTTATGATTTGTTTTAGCAATTGTAGTTCTTGTTGTTACTATATTTTTTGAACCAAACAAAGGATATAATTTAATGCTTATTGTTATTATAATTTAGTTGAAAATAACAAATTACATGGATTATGCTTGGATTGAATGATTGATGCATAGTCGGAGACTTGGACTTGGAGTCTTGCAAGTTAAATAGAGGTATTTTTTTTGTACTTAACTTTAGATTTACAAATTGTATTAGAAAATAAATGCATTGGATACATGTTTAATAATTTTTCTCTATTTAACTTTATATACATGTTTGCTGCTATTATCATAATTATTGTGATTTTTTAGTTATTTATTATTATTTATTTTTTATTATATGATCAGTTCGACATATGATCTAACGGTTGAACCAGTGACCCATTGACTCAGTCTCTCTGCTCGGTTATCAAAGAAAAATGCCCATGCCTGTACCAGAAGCAAAAAAGCCACCTCACATCCATGATCATTTATGAGCAGAAATTTGATACTAAATAGTGGCAATCTAAGATTTCACAATTCGTTTGTCTTTAGTTATAAATATGATGCAGGATTGGTTTAAAAAGAAATTTGAAAGCAAGAAAGCCGCAAATCTTCATCAAAAGACATGGGGATAAAGTCATATTTTCAGGCAATTTGGAAAAATCCAGCTAAACAGTGGTTACATGGTCAGGAGAGATGCTAAAGTCTGCAAAATTATAACATCAACAATGTAGAAATACAAATTGTTTTGTAACTGGAAACAACAATGGTAGTTTAGAATATAACTAGAAACTAATAGGCACACAAAAAAAATAAAAAAAATCAGAGGATATCGAAGGCCCTTCCAAGAAACAACTAATTTCCAAGTGCACTTTGGTGGTTCCTATAAAGAAAAACCTTCCAATCTGCTCAAATCCATATACACATAATCAAATCCAAAGAAAGTCATGGAGATATTTCATTAAACACATGTTATGCTAAAAATTATATCAAAGTAACGAACTTGAATACAAAGATCCAACACCTTCAAACACATGAATTGGCATATTAAATTAGGGCTTGAGGAGAGAGATTCCGGGTGAGTGTGTGTCGCGGGTGAGTTCCTGTCCCTATCCAACTTTCATCTTGATTCCGAGCTATTGTAGTTTATATATTCTTATCCATAATAGTTACACTTTCTGCAACTGTGTGCAAGAGGTCCAAACTGGCAAAGTTGTCCCACTAAACCTCCAATTCATCCCAAGTTGTTGCACCACATTTAGTCAATAGCTTGTCTCAGGTTTTACACTTTTGGAGACTGGAAAAATAAGAATATCAATAATAGCCACTCACAAAAGTTGTACCATTGTGTTGCAACAGAATTTTGCAAGAAAAAAAAAGGGAATTCCAATTAAAACTGAAAATTTATTTTGGTAAACCATATACATCTTTAGAGGAAGGGTTTTAATAAGGCAGACCCCATACTCTTTATCCGTTGTAGAAGGCCGGTTATCAAGTAAGCACAACCAGTAGATGGGAATAGGGCCTGCATCTCCTCTACTTGCAGAGTGAAGCTAGAATGCGGCGAGGAGGGTTAAAAGGCCGTCGAGAGTGTAAAACTGCCAAATTATCCACCAGCAGAATGTCACCTTGCTGCCAAGGTATGGCAACGCTTTCCTCGTCAAGTATTTTCAGGCAGTCATATACGATATGACCTGGTAAGGGGCTTCCATCCCCAAAGGTGACTGCTTTCACAGGATTATTTCTTGCATCTTCCCAGCCTGCGTAAGCAAACACCATGCTGTTGAACCAAATCTTGCGCTGCCGCGTCTTTTCGAACTTGATTGCTGGGATTGGGCCCATTATGGTTTTCACTACATTCTCCATCCATTCCAACCTCACTTCTAGCTTAGCAGCCCTGTTAAATGTCCATTGTAACATAAAACACATTAAGAAGTTTGTCATTTATTTGCTGCCAAAACCTTTAAATCAAATCATTTGGACTCAACATCCTGTACAAATTTGTTAGTTTTATAAACTCAATTCTTTACTGGGTAGTTTTTGGTATTTTACTTTTGGGCTTATGTTGCAATATTGAAAAGTTATGTTGTTAGATGATATTTAAGCATGTTTAGGGTCTTTTGTGCATTTAAAGGGGCAGCACTTGTTAGTCATTTTATAAAAGGTTAAGATTGTTGGCTTTAGAAAAATTGAAGGGGCAGCCATTAGAAGAGTCCAGAGTCATGAGGAAGTTTGTTTGTGCACGGCAACATGGAAGCCGATTTCTACTGTGAGAAGGAACCGATGAAGGCTGCTCACTGAAGTCGGTTTACATTATGAAAAACATAGTATAAAAAGCAAAGAGCTGGTGTCCAAAATAGAGAGGATTCTGTCCAGAAAAATAGAGAAGAAAAGAGAGGTGTTGGTAGAAAAATCATGTAGGAAAAACAGGGAGTTAGTTGTCCAAAAACTCAGCAGGTGTCTCCTGAGCAGAAGTTCTGTTTGTGTGTTTTTTGATAGCTTACTTTGTGTTTTTCTTGCCGGAAAAATCAGAATAGTTTTTCTCTTTGTATTGCTTGATATTGTAATCATTTTTGATGAAATATAGATGTGTCTCTTGAGTGGAATTGGTGTGGTAGTGTAGCAGATTTTTTGTCCCTGTTTTACTTGATTTTGTGTTGAAATTATTGTGATACACTTAGCAGAAATTCAGCCATTGATTTCGTGTATTGGGTCTTGATTTTGTGTTTCTTTGGTGACCTAATTTGCTTCCAATACCCAACAAAATTGGTATTAGAGCAACGTTATGAAATTTGAGATCTTTTGTTGAACCTAGGGTTTGCTATTTTGGGTTTTTTGTTGTTGTGTTTTTTAAAAACTATAGCCACCATGAGTAATGTGAAAATAATTATGGAAATTGGAGTATTCAAATTAAGGTGTTGTTACAATTACAAAACCTTTGAGAAATTATTGAAAAAGGTTACAACGAGCCGACTACGAAGGAGGAGCAAACATTTAATGATGCTCAAAAGACGGTGCTTAAGCAATCAAGGAAGACGGATAAGAAGACTTTATTCCTACTTTACCAATGTATTGACTATAACACTTTTGAGAAGATTTCTTCTACCATCACTTCGAAGCAAGCTTGAAAATTTTGAAGAATATGCATAGAGGCATCGATAAAACAATTTAGGTTTGTTATCAAATATTGCGAAGTGAATTTGAAGGGTTGAATATGAATGGAGTCAAGTCAATTTCGGAGTATTTTTCAAAAACTTTGGTGATTGTAAATCAAATGCAAAGGTATGGAAAAGATATTGATAATGTTCAAATTATGGAAAAAAATGCTACGAACCTTAATCCCAAAAATTTAAACATGTTGTAGTCGTTGAGCAATTCATGGATTTCAAGACTACGAGCGTCGATGAATTGATGGCGACATTGGAAATATATGAGTAATGTATTAATAAGAGGACTTCAAGTTCTCCTGAACAAGCTCTCCAATCTGAGTTTTCTTTGAAAGATGAAAAAATAGAATTTTAAGGTAGTACATTTCAAAAAGGAAGATGTTATGGAACACGAGGTAGAGGTAGAGGTATTGGCAATCGAGGAAGAGGCTACAAAAGTCGTGGAAGAGGCTATTATACTAATAGAGGTAGAGGAGGAAAATGTCAATTCACTAATGATGCAACAAATTAAAATTTTTATGGTTCAAGAGTTAGAGAGGATAAGGAAGAGCAAGAGGCAATTACAACAATCAATGTTTTGACAAGAGAAATTTTGAATGCTTCAATTGTCACAAGTTTGGGCATTATAGCAATGAGTGTTGGGCAAGTGCAAATAAAGGTGTTGAAGAACATGTGAATTATGCCGAAAAAGCAAGTAATAAAGCGGGATCTACTTTGTTATTGGCCTATGATGGATCCGAGGAAGATAATGACAACGTGAGGTTTCTTGATTCCGGGACAAGCAATCATATGTGTGGCAAGAAGCGTATGTTTATAGAAATTGGCGCAAGACAAAGTTATTTGTGGCGACTCCTCCAACATTCTGGTGAAAGACAAAGGTAAAATTCTTATTAAGCTCAAGAACAAAAATCATGATTTTCTTTTTGATGTCTATTATGTGCCGGATATAAAGAATAATATTTTGAGTTTGAGACAACTTTTAAAAAAATGTTATGATATTAGCATGAAGAATCTTTACCTTACAATTAAAGATACTCATGGAAATTTGATTGTTAATGTGAAAATGTCCAAGAAAAGAATGTTTCATTCGAATATTTAACATGATGCTATGAGATGTTTGAATGTTATTATTAAAGATGATTCTTGGTTGTGACACTTTAGACTTAAACATCTTAATTTTGGTGGCTTGAAGCTTTTATCTAGTAAGAAAATGGTGAAGGGTCTACCCTACATAGATCATCCGAATGAGTTATGTGAAGGGTGTATTCTTGATAAGCATAACATATTAAACTTTTCAAGAGAAGTCAAATGGAGAGCATCACGACCCTTGGAACTTGTGCACACCGATATTTGTGGTCCTTTGAAGCCTATGTCAAATAGTAAGAATCGCTACTTTCTTACTTTTATTGATGATTATAGTCGGAAGACTTTGGTGTATTTTTTAAGAAAGAAGTCCAAATTGTTTGAAGTTTTTAAGGAGTTCAAGAATCTTATTAAGAAGCAAAGTGGTTATTTTATCAAGAGGTTGAGATCTGATCAAGGTGGTGAATATAGTTCTGATTTATTTGAAGACTATTGCAAGGAGTATGGAATTGTGCATCAATTCACGCCAAGCTACACACCTCAGTTGAATGGAGTTGCGGAAAAGAAAAATAGGACTATTCTTGATATGGCTAGAAGCATGTTGAAAGGAAAGAGATTGCCTAGAGAATTTTGGGCCGAAGCCATAGCATGTGCGGTGTACTTGTTGAATCGATGTCCAACCAAGAGTGTTTGTTTCAAGACCCCAGAGGAAGCTTGGTGTTCATTCAAGCTTAGTGTAGCCTATCTTAGAGTTTTTGGATGTATTGTTTATGCGAAGATTCCCAAAACAAGGAGGACAAAACTTGATGATGAAAGTGAAAAGTGCATTTTTTTTGGGTATGGTAACAGAATAATGTGGTACAAGTTATACAACCCCATTACCTAGAAAGTGATCATGACTAGAAATGTAATCTTGAAGAGGAAGACATATGAGATTGGGAAGAAAAATTTTAGCCACCGAAGTGGAACTTATGTTTGAAGAAGAACAGTCAGAAAAACTAAGAAAAGTTCAAAGAGAGCCACAAACACCTCCACATGGATCCCCTTCACCTTCTACTGGTGAATCATCATCACCATCATTATCGGATTCTAGTTCAAATGAAGACCAAGAAAAATCAGAAGTTTGCAAAAGATTTATGAATCTACAAAAAATATTGAAGGTAACTTGAATTTGTTTTGTTTGTTCATGGATTGTGATCCTTTATGGTTTGAAGAAGCGATTCAAGAAGAGAAATGGAGAATAACAATGGATGAAGAAATGAAGGCAATTGAAAAGAATGATACATGAGTACTAGTTTGTCTTTCCCAAGGTCATAAATCAATTGGTGTGAAGTGGGTATATAAAACTAAGAAGGATGCAAATGGTGAAGTCCAAAGATGCAAGGCGAGGTTAGTTGTTAAAGGCTACAAGCAAAGGGCTGGAATTGATTATTGTGAGGTATTTGCTCCCGTTGCTCGTTTGAAAACGATTTGGTTGATGATTTCTTCGACACCACAAAACAAGTGGAAGATTTACTAACTTGATGTAAAATTGGCATTCTTGAATGAATTTCTTGAGGAGGAGATTTATGTTCAGCAACTTTTGGAGTACTTGAAAAAGAGACATGAAGATAAAGTGTACAAGTTGAGAAAAACTCTTTATGGATTAAAGCAAGCACCACACACATGGAATGCTGTAATTGATAAATACTTTCGTGAGAATAGTTTTCAAAAGTGTCCTTATGAGCATGCATTATATATGAAGATGAGTTGCAATGAAAGTATACTACTTGTTTGTCTTTATGTTGATGACTTGATCTTCACCGGCAATGATCCAATGATGTTTGATGAATTCAAGAGAAGTATAATTAAGGAGTTTAAAATGACCGATATTGGTTTTAATGTCTCATTTCTTGGGCATTGAGGTTAAGCAAAGTAAAAATGAAATTTTATTTCTTAAAGTAGTTATGCAAAGGAAATACTCAAGAAGTTCAAGAAGGATTCTTGCAACCTAGTGAACACACCCGTAGAAATTGGATTGGAATTGAGGAAGAGCATTAGTGATGGAAATGTTGATCCAACTTATTTTAAAAGTTTAGTTGGAAGTCTTCAGTACCTTACCTACATAAGGCCGGACATTTTTTATAGAGTTGGCTTAATTAGTAGATACATGGAAACACCGGATCAAACTCATCTTAGTGTGGCGAAGAGGATTTTACGTTATGTTAGAAGTAAACTCAATGATGACTTATTTTATTCTTGCACTAATGATTATAGACTTGTTGGATATTCGGATAGTGATTGGGGTGGAAATTTGGATAAAAGGAAAGGTACCTCGGGTTATTGTTTTTTCATGGGAGATACGACTTTTATTGGTCATCCAAGAAGTAAGCAATTGTTACTTTGTCTATGTGTGAAATAGAGTATGTGGCGGCAAATTTTACTGTGTGTCATGCTATCTGGTTGAGGTACTTGTTGAATTATTTGGGATTTTCTCAAGAAATTCTCATGGAGATCCTTGTTGATAATAAATCGGCGATGGCATTGGCGAAGAATCTAGTGTTCCATAAGAGGAGTAAACACATTGACACGTGCTACCATTTTATTAGAGAGCATGTGAAGAATAAAGAAGTGAAATTGGTGCATTGCAAGACTCAAGATTAAGTTGCCGACATTTTTACGATGCCATTAAAACATGATGTGTTTGGAAGATTGAAAATGATGCTTGGCATGAGAACCCAAGGAATTGGGTTTAAGTGGGGATGTTAGTTTTATAAACCCAATTCTTTAATGGGTAGTTTTTTGTATTTTACTTTTGGGCTTATGTTGTATTATTGTAAAGTTATGTTGTTAGATGATATTTAAGCATGTTTAGGGTCTTTTGTGCATTTAAAGGGGCTGTACTTGTTAGTCGGTTTACAAAAAGTTAAGATTGTTGGCTTTAGAAAAATTAAATGGGCAGCCATTAGAAGAGTCCAGAGTCATGAGAAAGTTTGTTTGTGCACAGCAACATGGAAACCGATTTCTACTGTGAGAAGGAACTGATGAAGGATGCTCACTGAAGTCAGTTTACATTATGAAAAAAAGAGTATAAAAAGCAAAGAGCTGGTGTACAAAATAGAGAGGATTCTATCCAGAAAAACAGAGAAGAAAAGAGAGGTGTTGGTAGAAAAATCATGTACAAAAAAACAGGGAGTTGTTGTCCAGAAACGCAGCAAGTGTCTCCTGAGCAGAAGCTCCGTTTGTGAGTTTTTGATAGCTTACTTTGTGTTTTTCTTGCTGGAAAAATCAGAATAGTTTTTCTCTTTGTATTGTTTGATGTTGTAATTTTGGTGAAATATAGAGGTGTTTCTTGAGTAGAATTGGTATGGTAGTATACCAGATTTTTTGTCCCTGTTTTACTTGATTTTGTGTTGAAATTATTGTGATACACTTGGCAGAAATTCAGCACTTGATTTCGTGTATTGGGTCTTGATTTTGTGTTTCTTTGTAGTCGTAATTTGCCTCCAATATCCAACAATATTGACAGTCGTATATAAACAACTGTTTTAAGAAGGTTGTCCTACACAGATATTAGATTGATGAAAAGTTAGCTTAGAGAAATTTCTTTTAGCAGGCGTTTCAATGATTGGTACAACCAGCATCACTACCAGTAACTCAATGGTCATTAGTACGAAGAGGAGCAAAAGAACAAAACACACAATCTTACTAATTGAAATAATTTCTTACTGATTACAGCGAAGTACAAACCTTTCCTCAGCCACAGTTTTGTCTTGGGTCAAAAAAGTCGACTTCCACCCACGACCGATTGGGGATGAATTATCATCCTCCTCTCCCAGCACTCGCGTATAGATCAATCCATGCTCTTCCAATTTTTCAACAAACTCTGGGTACTTCTCATTCATTTTCTCATATATGATATGGCTAAGAACTATAGGAGTTTCTCCCCCACTAGCAGGTTCTACTTCACAGAAGAAAAACAACTTCGATGGGTACACGGGCACCTGTTACAAAAGCTTCTAAGTTTAAGTAGAGTTACAATGACATCCACAGTTCAAAACGTTGGATAATTGTCTTCCAAATATAATCCAAGGGTTAATAAGTGGAAATATATGTGATATTCGAAAATACCTGAGCCATTTCATGATGAAAAGGGATTTTCTGATCCGGAGGCGACTCATTGGTCGTGAAAACCCGGCCAACAACTTTGTTCCGAGGCGCAGCGCCGCCGATATACGGCAGTTCCTCGTAGCCAAAGGCCTCGACAACGTCATTGAAGTCAGAAGCGGTGGTTAAAGGGAAACCTCTGAAGAGAACAGCCCCAGAACGATGAAGAAGAGAGTCCAACCATGGCTTATGAAGCTTGATAGCCTTGTTAGAACAGAAATGTCCGAAGTGAGTGTCGTTGGATCTGAAGAGAGGACTGCAGGGAAGAAAACTCCATTGTAGACCTTCTGTTGAGGTATTTCAACTACTGTGAAGAAATTTTCTGGCATGTTTGGCTGGAAAAAGCTGATCTTTCTCTCTAGAATTCTCTCTGTGAATTGTTACAGTAATGTGGAAGTGAGTAGTGGTGAATACTTAGAGGGTGGGGGCGCGTGGGAAAGATGAACTGCGATGTAGATGCCCAGGTGTAGCTTTTTCGTCCCCTTATCAGTATTGGCGTCCGGATACAATGAGTAGGGGTGATAAATTGGAAGGAGGACAAAATGAAAGTGTTGATAATCTTTAAATGGTACAATGTTTTTTGGATTAATTGCATGTAGGGGTCCCCTTAGGATTATCACTTGGGTCATTTGGTCCCACTTTTGTTGACCAATTTCCCATACAAACATGTCTTAATCACTTTGATGTCACACAATAATTTGTCATTAAATCAAGGGTTAAATATATTTTTAGTTCTTAAAATATGTATTTTTAATCAATTTAGTTTTCATTATATCAAGTTTATCAATTTGATTCTCAAAGTATTTAATTTATATCATTTTAGTCTCTATATAGAGGGACGTTAAATTTTTGATACAATGATCACGTGTTGGATACATGATACTATTTAACTTTCATCAAAAAAATTTAACAGATTGTTTGATTAAGGACCAAAAGGACACACATTGTATATTTTAGGGACCAAATTGATATAATGAGGATTAAACAACAAAAAAAATGTACATTTTAGGATCCAAAAGTGCTATTAACTCTTAAATCACATGAACCCCTTTGAATATGAAAAATAACAATGTGATCTCTTAGGTTTTGGTTTTGTATAATATATAACAATGCTATTGAGATCTAATTTATTGATCTAATTTGATGACCTAATTTATTATAGTTATTGAATTGACTGTGAATTTCATCATGAAATTTGATATTAATTCGACGATTACAATAAAATCATATCATTACCTTATAGTTACCATCAAATTTTTAACTCTCAATAACATTAGTCTAATATATAACCTCTTTTTGTTATGAAGTGAACTCAACATGTTTTTATCCTAAAATTCTCAAAATACCCATAGGACCACCAAACCTAACTCAATCATGTACGGATGACAGTGGACCGGGGCGAGGATAGGGAGGGGGAATAGTCTTTAATCCCATACTCGCTTCAAAAATATTCATTCACCTTCGTTAGTGAGAAAAATTTTAATATCCATCCCTGTTCACGCCACCGTCCATAATAATTAATTTTTATGATTTTTAAAAATAAATAAAACCTCACAAATGGTTCTGCAAGAGAGAAAGTAATTTTATTTTTGTTTGGGTAAAGAGAAGGGTGTATGGATGGATAGAGTTTGTGATATTATATATATGTATTAATAAATAAGAGGAATGGTGAGTGAATTTTGTGTTTTTGTAATATATATAGCCCATCTATATTTCTATTCTCGCACGGGTTTAAACAAATATTTTTGTGTACATTCATTGTTCAATATATATGATTCACTACGACTTTAAACAGAACGAGGTTACACAAATATCTATTTTTCTTCCCTCCACTGCCATCCCTGCAACAATGATATCCCACTACAACCATAATCTCAATCTTGAGTGATAATTGTCAATCACCGCCACCATACAAACAAACACCTAGCAACATGCCACTATCATCACCATCACTGCCACAAGACAGAGCAGTACAATGCATCACACCACCACTACACTGCCAACATCACACACAAGTCACGTCCCCCAATTCACCCCTTATCATCTAAAATACAAATAAGGGAAGAGATACAAAGAAGCGGCCCTTTACCTTCATGTTTTCGAGAATAATGTCACAATCAACCACTAAAAAGTTAACCCTAGATCATCATTCAAATTTGTCATACAAAAAATCATTCATCTAAAACCACCACATGAATCCATACTCGCTTCAAAAATATTCATCCACCTTCGTTAGTGGAAAAAATTTTAATATCCATCCCTGTTCACGCCACCGTCCATAACAATTATTTTTTATAATTTTAAGAAAAAAAATTTTAAAAATAAAATCTCACAAATGGTTCTACAAGAAGAATGAAACTCCATTATATAACAAATAAATCAAAAAAAAAAATTAAGTAATTTTTTTTTTTTTGGGTAAAGAGAAGAGTGTGTGGATGGATAGAGTTTGTGATATTATATATATGTATTAATAAGTAAGTGGGAGGGTGAGTGAATTTTGTGTTTTTGTAATATATATAGTCCATCTATATTTCTATTCTCCCACCGGTTTAAACAAATATTTTTGTGTACATGTATCTTTCAATACATATAATTCACTATGACTTTAAACAGAATGAGGTTACACGAATATCTATTTTTCTTTCCTCCACCGCCATCCTTGCAACAATGATATCCCACTACAACCATAATCTCAATCCTGCGTGATAATTGTCAATCATCGCCACCATACAAACAAACACCTAGCACCTGGTCATTATCATCACCATCACTACCACAAGACATAGTTCTACAATGCATCACGCCACCACCATCACCACCACTACATTGCCAACATCACACTCAAGTCACGTCCCCCAATTCATCTAAAATACAAATAAGGGTAGACACACAAAGAAGCGGTCCTCTAGCCTTCATTTTTTCTGAGAACAATGTCACAATCAACCACTAAAAAGTTAACCCCTAGATCATCATTCAAATTTGTCATACAAAAATCATTCACTAAAACTACCACACAAATCCATACTCGCTTCAAAAATATTCATCCACCTTCGTTAGTGGGAAAAAATTTTAATATTCATCCTTGTTCATGCCACTGTCCATAACAATTAATTTTTATGATTTTAAGAAAAAAATTAAAAAAAATAAAATCTCACAAATAGTTCTACAAGAAGAATGAAACTCTATTATATAACAAATAAATCAAAAAAAATAGTGAAAATATATATTTTTTTTGGGTAAAGAGAAAAGTGTGTGGATGGGTATGATGTGTGATATTGTATATATGTATTAAGTAAGTGGGAGAGTGGGTGGATTTTGTTTTTTTATAATATATATAGTCCATCTACGTTTCTATTCTCGCACGAGTTCAAACAAATATTTTTGTATACGCTCATTGTTCAATAAATATGATCCACTCTGACTTCAAACAGAATGAGGTTACACAACTATCCGTTTTTCTGCTCTCCACTGCTATCCTTGCAGCAATGATATCCACTACAACCATAATCTCAATCTTGTGTGATAATTGTCAATCACCGCCACCATACAAACAAACACCTAGCAGCATGCTACTATCACTGTCACAGGATAGAGCAGTACAACACATCACGCCACCACCATCACCACACTGCCACCATCACACTCAAGTCACGTCCCCAAATTCACCCCTTATCATATAAAATACAAACAAGGGGAGAGACACAAAGAACCAGTCCTCTACCCTTCATTTTTTTTCTGAGAACAATGTCACAATCAACCACTAAAGAGTTGGCCCGTAGATCGTCATTCAAATTTGTCATACAAAAATCATTCACTAAAACCACCATACAAATCCACCCCAAAACCAAAGCTCCCCAAACATCATCCTCCAAATCACCCGCCAAACTCCCCTAGAAATAAAACCCCCCAAAACCAGCTACTACCTCACAACCTTAATCTACCACTTTGTAATTGCTATTTTGAAACAATGCCACCCACCCCACCTGTGTTACTTGCACACTTTCCGAAAATCTAGAAAATAAAAGTAAAATAGAATATAAGATAAAGAACCCATTTTGAAGGAGGAATCTTCGATGGTCCAATTCGAAAATAACCTATCTTCAAAATTTCAAAAAAAAGTTTAATATAATATTCAAAATATTCATTCCTTTGATAAAAAAATCTTTAAATACAAAATAATAAAAATTACCTTAATAACAAAACTAACTCATGACTTTACTATCTTAGTAACCCATGCCCAAATCGGATCGGTTCAGTTTTTGGATTGCTTATGCACCAAACCCGTCTAAAACCCGTTGAACTAGTGAAAAAATCGCTGAACCGTTTAAATTGGGCGAGTTGAATTAAACCAGCCAGGTCAGTTATATTAGTGTAAAATGTTGAATTTTGGGCATTTTGCCCTAAATCAACACTCGACGATAGTCTGTCACATCTCACTCAAGTTTCTGATCTGGTACCCAAGTCGATCGAAAAACGTTGGTCACCAAGTCGAAGCCAACCTCTGTCTCTTCTCTTCACAATGATCGATCATCTATCGATCAGCCGTTGTGAGCCTGCAATTGTCTCTATTCTGTGTGAGTCCTCTTCTCTTCGACTGTCCTAAATTGACATTGTCTTTTTATCTCTTTAGAGTTTCTTCTCTCAATCTATGCTCTCTCTCTCTCTCGTCGCGAGCAAACAAAGGATGAAGCTGGCTTCAAAGCTCCTTTCCATTGAAGCATCGAGTCGTCGATAACCATTGACAGCAGGTACACTACTCTTTCTCTCTCAGTCTCTATCCCCCTGTCTCTCTTTCCGTCATTATCTCTATTATGAGAGCTTTTGGTTTACCTGTGGCATATAGGGTTGAATTTTGGAATCATACGGTGGTTTGAGAAACTTTGTGTCAAATTTACTAATTTGGTTTGTCATTTGGTTTGAGAAGAAAGTGGTTTCCGTGTGGCATATCGTTCTCAGTCTGATGGCCATATGCCCTAATCTATTAATTTGGTTTGTGATTTTTGATCCAAGTTGTGTGTGATTCAAGCCAAATTGTTGAAACGAGGGCCAAATTTGAGTAACTTGGATTTTTATGATTTGTTTTAGCAATTGTAGTTCTTCTTGTTACTATATTTTTTGAACCAAACAAATAATACAATTTAATGCTTATTGTTATTATAATTTAATTGAAGAGTACAAATTACAAGGATTATGTTTGGATTAAATGATTGATGCATAGTCGGAGACTTGGACTTGGAGTCTTGTAAGTTAAATAGAGGTATTTTTTTTATACTTAACTTTAGATGTACAAATTGTATTAGAAAATAAATGCATTGGATACATGTTTGAC